CGAGGATTCTTTTGCCCTTCCACAGAAAGTTCATGATTGTTTTTTCCATCTCTTTAAAAATGTCATTGGAATCTGGATTGGGATTGTGTTCTGTCTGAAGATTGCTTTGGGCAGTATGGACATTTTCACGATGTTAAGCCTGCCTGTCCATGAACAGGGTGTATTCTACCATTTTTGTAAATCATTTTTGGTGTTTTGTAGTAGTGCTTTGTAGTTTTCTTTGTGTAGCTCTTGTGTTTCTCTGGGTAGAATTTTTACTAATTAGCAGTTCAAGTTCACCAGCTGCTCCTCGGAAAACCCTATACATGAGTCAAAACTGACTAGACAGCACTTAACAACAACAAATTCCATCCTTTGTGTGGCTATTGTAAGTGATATTGTTTTCCTAATTTCCTTTTCAGAGCTGTCTTTATCAGTATAGAGGAATCTAAATGATTTTTGTATATTGATCGTGTACCCTGCCACTTTGCTGAATCTTCCAGTTGTTGTTGTTCAGTGCCATCAAGTCAGTTCCAACCCAGAGAGACCCTGTATAGGGTTTCCAGGAAGCAGCTGGTAAGCTTGAACTGCCAACCTTAAGTTCAAATGACTTTGTAGTCCAGTGAATTAATCCAATCATTTTTTTTTTCTGAGTCCTTGGGATTTTTTATGTATATTACTATGTCATCAGCAAATAGAGAGAATTTTACTACTTCTTTGCCAATTTGAATGCCTGTAGTTTCCCTTTCTTGCCTTATAGCGCTAAGACTTCCAACACAATGTTGACTAGGAGTGGTGATAAAGGGCATCCTTGTCTGGTTGCTGTTCACAAAAAGAATGCTTTTCAGTTTCTCTCCATTGAGAGTGATGTTGGCTGTTGGTTTTGCATAGGTGCTCTTAATAATGTTGAGACATTTCCCTTAAATTCTTACTTATTGAGTGTTTTTTCAAGAATGGCTGTTAGATTTTGTCAAATGCTTTTTCTGATCAATCAATATGATCATGTGATTCTTTCCTTTTTTAAATTTATATGTTGGATTACATTTGTTGTTTTTCTAATATTAGACCACCCTTACATCCCCGGTATGATTCGCACTTGATCATGATGAATTATTTTTTTGGTACATTGTTGAATTCTATTGGCTAGAATTTTGTTGAGAATTGTTGCATCTTTGCAAATGAGGGACACTAATCTATAATTCTCTTTTTTATTGATTTTTTTGTAGTTTGGGTATGAGGCTTTTGCTTGCTTCATAAAATGTATTGGACAGTTTTCCATCCTTTTGTTTATTCTGGATTAGTTTGAGTAAAAATTGGTATCATCTCTTCAATGAATGTTTGGTAAAATTCACCAGTAAAGCTATATGGTCCTGGACTTTTTTTTTGTTGGAGTTTTTTAATGACCTGATCAATTTCTTCTTTTGATATAGGTTTGTTCAAGTTTTTTACTAACTGTGTTTTTAGATATGTCATGTTTATCTAAAAATGTGTAGAATTTCCTCTAGGTTTTCAAATTTGTTCAAGTATAATTCTTCATAATATTCTGTTATTATCCTATGTATTTTCATTAGTTCTGCTGTGATGTTACCCATATGGTTTCTTATGCATATTATTTGCATTTTCTCTCTTTTCTTTTGTTAGATTTGTCAATGGTTTGTTGATTGTATTAGCTTCTTGTCTTGTTGATACTTTCTATTGTTTATCTGTTTTCTCTTTCATTTATTTCTGCTCTAGTCTTTATTATTTCTTTTCTTCTGGATATTCTGGGCTTACTTTGCTGGTCTTTCTCTAATTGTTGGAGATGTTGTATTAATGTGTTGTGTTTTGTTCTTTCTTCTTTTGGGATGTGTGTGTTTATTGCTATAAATTGCCCTCTCAGCATTGCTTTTGCTGTGTCCCAAAGGTTTTGGTATATTGTGTTTTCATTCTCATTTGTATCTAGGAATTTTTTTACTTCATTTTTTCATTTCTTCTACTACTCAGTAGCTTTTAAGCAGTGTGTTACTCAGTTTCCATACATGTGTTTTATTTCCTTGATCTTCCTATGATTGATTTCTAATTTTATAGTATTCTGATCTGAGAAGATGCTTTGTAGTACTTGGATGTTTCTAAATTTATCGAGACTTACTTTGTGACCTAAAGCATGGTCTGTTCTGAAGAATGTTCCATGTGTACTAGGAAAGAATGTTTATTGGGTTGTATATTCTGTATAGATCTTTGAGATTGATTTTGTTGTTTAGTTCCTCTGTGTCTTTGTTGACTTTCTTTCTGATTGTTCTGTTTGTCCTTTTTTTTTAAAAAAAAAAAAGATTTATTGTGAATTATGTGATAGTTTACATGGGAGAACATTAGTTTTACATTCAATCTATCGTATATCATCTCATTGCCATGGTTACAGGCACCTCCATGCAATCCTTCCCCCATACCCCCCAGGTCTTCAGCACACAGTCGCTCTCCCTCTCTGGATCTAAAGTCTCCAGTTGCTCCATCGCTCCACGTCATCATCTCTGGCTCCATTTCAGGCATCACTGCTTCTCTGGGTAGGGTCCCACTCTCTGCTCTTCTCCCTTGATGGTCCTAGGGACCTCAGCTCCTAGACTGAAAAGTTAATCACTCCCCTCCTTGCTATAAAACATCTACCTTTACATTTCCAACCCTCATAAACAGTCCTGATAACAATTATTCACTATTGTATCACAAGAGACCCGTCTGCATTTCATTGCATCAGCTCCGCCTAGTCAGATTGAATACTACTCACTGGAGATTCTACCTTCCTCCAGGCCCTCTGGATCTAGGTTCCCTCTTGAAAGCTTGTAAGCCAGTCACTTCTTGCCTTTGTAGCTCCCCACCCCCCATTTTGAGTAGCCAATGTCCAAATTGCCCATCCCTGTCTATTCTGTGTGTGGAGGGGGGTGGGAATGATTCTTGCTGTAAGGACTTGTTCCCTCTTTTGAGCTACTGCTTCCATAGGTATAGGTCAAGTTCATCAAATTGTATGAAAATACTTTTTTTTTTCCCTCTTCTTTTTACTTTTGGTTGAGTTCTGATCATCCAGTCACTGAAGACAAGATAAGTGGGTATTATCTGCAAGTGTGGGTGTTCTTATGCATATGCCCTCTCTTCTTATCAGCTGGACGCTTCGCTCTCCACTCTAGTCCTCTGTGGTTATGTCACTGACTCTGGGCCCAAGAGTCCCCAGGTCTTGCCACACTGCTGGCTAACCAGGTCTTCACCCGGGTTCACAGAAGTCTATTGAACGTTATAGGGCTTAGCTTACCGCTTCATTGCTGTTTTTCCCTCACTTTCCCTTATCAGTGTCGAACGTGGTATCACCTGTCTGTCCTTTTTTGAAAGTGGTATTTAAACCATTAGCATTCAGTGTAATTGTCAATAGGTATGGATTAATTGCTGTCATTTTGGGGTGTGTGTGTGTGTGTGTGTGTGTGTGTGTGTGTGTGTGTGTGGTGCTGCTGGTTTCTTTGTTCTTCATGCTTTCCTGTTCTGAGTTCATTTTTTTTGTACTTTTTCCTGTTAATTTCATCATAGTTTTAATGTTTTCAAAATCTTCCTGGGGTTTCCTCTTCTTAATTTGATGTGAACATGTATTTCTTTTGAGTTTACCCTGTATTTTATTAATTTCTTCCTCATTTTAAAACTGTCTGTTTTATCCTGTAATCTACCTGATGACATCATCACCTGGAACTCTGTAACTATATTTTTCCCTTCCTTCATTTTGTAGTTGTGCTGATCATAGACTGGTATCCCAGATCTACTTTGGACACTTCCATACCTGGACTGAATTCTGGTTGTTGCATGCTCTTGGTGGTTCTCAATCCAATGAACTCCCTTTCGTGTATTTTGGAGCATTGGCTTGGCTTATACAAAGTCCTTTAATTTTTGTTTATCCTTAAATGTTCTAATCTCATTGTCATATTTGATGGACAGCTTTGCTGGGTATATGATTCTTGGTTAACAGTATTTTTCTTCTAGAATTTTTATATGTGTCCCCCATTGTCTTCTTGTCTACATGGTTTCTGCTGAGAAATCAGAGCTTAACCTTACTGGTTTTCCTTTGTAGGTAACATTTCATTTTCCTCAAGCTGCTTTCAGGATTCTTTCCTTATCTTTCATTTTTGAGACTTTGAATATGATATGTCTTGGTGATTTTCTTTTGGGGTCTATCCTGCCTGGTGTTCGTTCAGCTTCTTTTGCTTATCTTCTCCTTCATGATGCTAAGGTCATTTTCTTTGAGCAGCTCTTCGACTATCTTTTTTGTGGTTTTCTTTGAGTCTTTCTGCTCTTGAATTCTGATCACCGGTAGATTATTCCTCTTCATGTTGTCCCACACCCTTTTTTCTGATTGTTCTTCTCTCGTTCCAGTATTGAGAGATTTATTTTCAAGTTCACCAATTCTGGTTTCCATTGGTTCAGTTCTACTCCTTTCCCCTTTCAGTGTATTGTCCATTTCTGATATTTTAGTATTAATCATCTGGACCTCTGTTTGGAGGTTTTGTATTGTCTCCAATGCTGTATTTTGTTTTGTTTGATTGTTCCTATAGTGCTTTTCTAAATTATTCCTTATTTTCCTCAACCTTTCTGTGAAACATTTGGATGTAACTCGGTAACATCCTCCTGAATTCTTTATCAGGTAGTTCCAGTGCCTCTTCGTCCTTAAAAGCATTTTCTAGCTCTTCAGCTTTATGCCATTCCAATTATATAAATTGTGCAAAAGACACATCTACAGGGACAGAATTTGATTAGTAATTGCCTAGGGCTTGCAGGGATATAGGCTTAGGGGTAATAAATAAGGGGAGCAAGAATTCTTTGGTTAATGAAAGTATTCTAAAATAGATTGTGGTGATATAGGCACAATTTTTAATTAATAAAAGACATTGAATATTGTACATTTAAATGGAGGAATTGAATACAGTCAGAGTTATATCTCAACAAAACTGTTAAGAAATTTCAGGAAAAGTGATCTCAGAGCCATATCCTTCCTGACTTCAGGTTTTTCCTTCCAGTTATAGGTGGGCATTTGTTCCAGAAGTGGACACAGACGGTTCTGCCTTCCTGTTGGAGCTTGAGGAACATCACCAAGAATGCAAACCCCATACTGTTAGGATACTACAACTTCTAAAGTTAAAATATGGGGTAAATTTTTCCCTTTTAAAAATTTTGTCCAAGGTTGAAGTTGGGATAGGAAATGAGGCCTGAGTAGTGAGTAAGACATTTCATAATATTTTAATTTTGTTGTGAAAATATGTACAGTTAGAACATATACTAATTCATCAATTTCTACACGTACAATTCAATGATGTTGATTACGTTCTTCAAGTTGTACAGCCAGCCACACCTTCCTTTTTGGAGTTGCTCCTCTCCTGTGAAAAAACTCACTGCCCCCTAAGCTTCCTATCTAACCTTTCCAGTTGCTGTTGTCACTTTGATCCTATGATTTATCTTTTAATTCCATTTTCCAAGGACTTTTTGAGGCCCCACATAGATATGATGCCTGATTTTACTGATATGGGATATTTTTCAAGATTTATCTGAGTTTGAAAACTTGGAAAGAGTTATAAATTCCATCTTTATTTTCTTTTATTGTTTGTCACACACGTTGCTTTCTTATCCCAGTTGCTAAAAGGTGAAGCTTCCTGGGTATCACAGTCTTGCAGAAGTGTTTTACCTCTCAGCTTCCTGTTAAGTTTTTAATCTAAAAAGAGGAAGAGCCGTCAAGGAGGAATGTTAGGGTCTTGGGTGGGATTGGGCTCTAGGTGGAAACCTGATGTGAAATGTTAACTGACAACCTAAAATTTGAGTATTTTCCTATAGCTAGTACTTAGAATGAATTTTCATAAAGAACAGATCTTTTATGTTTTACTGCATGTATGACCCTTGTCAAATCATTACTCGTCCCCCCTTTTTATAACCATATCTTTTTTTAATGGATTTTTATTTGCAGGAAATTAACAGCTCTGATGAGATAACTGTGAAGAATGAATTTCCTCTTCTGCGCCAACATTCTGTTTCCAGCATTAGACAACTGATGCCATTCTTCAAGACTCTAAATTGCGCTTTTAAAACCCAAAGTAAACTTCCTGCTGAACCCCCAGCACCTCCATTCTTAGAGGATATTGTCACAGTTAGTCCTAGGGTTTTGGAACAACTGGAAGAAAGTGTTGAACATGATTTTTTGGAGCATCTGGAGTGCTGACGTTATGAGACAGAATTTGTTTCATCCATGTATTGGTACATCCGTGAGAACCAGGACATATTCTAAATAAGAAAGAAGCCAACTTAGTGCTTTCAGCTGGGTCTGTTTCAGTTTTGAAAATGGAGTTCAGAAAATTTTCTGTTTGAAAACAAAACACACTTCCCTAAATGCTTTGTCATATATTTGAATCTGATTATATGTTTCTTCCCCGATTTATGTAATGAAAATAAAATTAACATATCATCTGTCTGTAGCACAAAATTTGTAATATGAAGTAAAGTATGGAGAGAATGAAGATGTCATTTTCTTTGTTGAAGTAGACAATGCATGGGTCTTTCTCAGTATATTTCTCTACAAATGTTAACTTGTTAAAAGAATATTTTTTAAACCTTTCACACACAGATCCTTCAGAGCATTTATTTTGGTACTGCTTTTTAAAACTGCTGTTGTTGTTGTTGTTAGATGCTGTTGAGTTGGTTCAAACTCATGGTGACCCTGTGTACAGCAGAATGAAACGCTTCCCAGTCCTGCACCTTCCTCAGAGGCAGGCATTGCTGTTTGAACTCCTTGTTGTAGCCTCTGTGTCAGTCCATCTCATTGATGGTCTTCGTCTTTTTTGCTGACCTTCTACTTTACCAAGCATGATGTCCTTCTCCCGGGACTGGTCCCTCCTGATAACATTTCCAAAGTATGTGAGAAAAAGTGTCCCCATCCTTAGTTCTAAGGAGCATTCTGGCTGTACTTCTTCCAACTCAGATTCTTCTGGCAGTCCACGGTATATTCAGTATTCTTCCTCAGCACTATGATTAATTTAAATGTATTAGTTATTTTACAGCCTTTCTTGTTCATTGTCAAACTTTCAAATGCATATAACATGATTGAAAATATTATGGATTTACTCCTCAAAGTGACATTTTTGCTTCTGAACACTAAAGAAATTTTTTGCAGCAGATATGCCTGCTGCAATACATTGTTTGGTTTCTTAACCGTAGGATAAGCACTCGGCCTCAAGGTCGGTTTGAACCACTAGATTGGTGGTTCAAACTCACCAGCCACTCCTCAGAAACCCTATACAGGGTTGTTATGAGTCAGAACCAACTCAACGGCACTTACCAACAATAACTACTTCCATGAGTGTTGATTGTGGATCCAACTAAAATGAAATCCTTGACAATTTCTATCTTTTCTCTGTTTATCATGATGTTGTTTATTGGTCCAGTTATGAGGATTGTTATTTTCTTTTCATTAAGTTGTAATCCATACTAAGCTTGTACTGATTGATTTTCATCAGTTAGTGCTTTCAGTCCTCTTCACCTTCAACAGCAAGGTTATGACATCTGCATAACTCAGGTTGTAATGAGTCTTCTTCCAACCCTGATGCCACATTCTTCCTCATAATCCAGTTTCTCGAATAATTTGCTTAGTACAGATTGAATAAGTGTGGTTAGAGGATGCACACGTTTCTTGATTTAAAACCTTTCTCTTGATCTATGTACAGGTTCCACATGAGCACAATTAAGTGTTCTGGAATTCCCA